TGCACTGCCAATTCCGCTGAGTAGCAATGCATCTCATACCTGTACTTCACAACAAGTAATATATAGGAACTATAGTAAGGCAAACTGGGTCTTAGTAGAATCAATGCTAAGATCCTCCAAGTGGGATGAATACCTCACTACTGATGACCTATCGAGAGCTCTAACCATCTTCTACCATAACTCAAACACATGCTTAGATGCTGTCATTCCACTCCAAACACTGAAGGTCTCCCCACACAGAAAGTCATTCATAAAACCAAAGGATCGTATGAAACCGAAGAAACTCTGAACAAGTTACTTCAAACACCATGACTTTGACACTCTAGTTCTAATACTTAACACCCTTAGCTCCATCTCACAAGCTCGAGATTTCCGTATGAGAAAGGAAGAACGCATCGCAGTAGCCAGTTCTGCTAGAGTGTATGCACTCACAGAAATCTTAAGGAAGCGAGTGAATCGCAAAAATCACAGCATTTCCCTCCTCATAGACAAAGGTAGGCTATGCACTAACTCTGCAGACATATGTGAACTATTCAACAAAACGTTTGCAGGTAACTACCTTAAGCCCTCAGTCCAGCTATTCGATATACACCCTGTTACTAATATGGCACAGACTCCATCTCCACTCACATCAAACCAAATAAGCACTGTTGAATTCACTTACGCTAATATTAACCAAACTATAAGAACCCTCAAAAGTTCAAAAGGTTTCGGTACTGACGGTATATCATCTTACTTCTATAAATATGGTGGCCCTTACATTCCCCTACTGCTTCTTAAAATATTCACAATGTCCCTAGAAACTCAAACTTACCCTGACATATGGAAGACAACATTCATTATGCCTAAACACAAATCTGGCTCGAAAACTGAAGTCAGTAACTACCGGTCGATCAATACCACACCTATAGCATCTAGAATTATGGAGAGACTAGTTAAATACAACTTAGTCAAACATATGCTTAGCCGCAATATTATAAGTCCGAACCAACATGGATTCCTGAAATCCAGATCATGTTTAACATGTCACCTAGACTTCTTCAATTTTGTAACCAGCAGTCGTGACAGACGGCAACTAGTACTTGTCATCTACCTTGACATTTCTAAGGCATTTGACCGTGTCGACCATATACTGCTAACAAATAAGCTGAACTCCTTAGGAATACGTGACCCATTATTAGGATGGCTTAAATCATTCCTTAACAATAGGTCCCAAATAGTTAAACTCGGGTCTGCAACCTCCAAACCTAGCCCTATCACTTCTGGTGTAGTACAAGGTAGTGTCATTGGACCCCTCCTATTTACACTATACATCAATGACATATGCGCTTGCTTCACGCACGGGAAACCATTCATCTTTGCAGATGACCTAAAAGTAGCTTATACATTCCAATGTGATGACTTAGGGTACTTCGAGAATGTAGTGCAGAAGGAATTTGATAAAATGACTGCTTGGTCGTCCTAATGGAATCTCCAATTTAATCTGAACAAATGTGGCTGGATCTGCTTCGGTGCACCCTCAATTGACCTGAAATTAACGCTTCAATCCGCTAACCAGACTCCAAAGT